GCCTATGGGCCCTAGCTTGCTACTTTTGGGGGGACAGTGTCAACCCCCACACCAAGGAGGCTATCAAGCTTAACGCTGAAGCCAACAACCTGTTTGGGTTTACATTACTCAACCACAGTCTCTAGCCAGAGACAGTAGCTCCTTCACGGTGCTATGGGAAGCGGAGGCCTCAGCAGGATGATTCTGAGATTAGAGGAGGCCTGCCACACTTACACCACTGTGGTCTAGAGCTTTTCCTCATAGGGTGAATAAAGTTCATGATGCAGAACTCAGGCAGTGAGGGGCCTAAACAACTCTCTGTTAGTGAGATGGCCCTTTTCCTACTACCTGCAAAGCTTGTTTGCATGGAGACCTCAGCAGGATGACTCTCGAAGGAGAGGAGGCATGACACATATATTTCGGAGAGGTAGCTCGACGATCATCGGAGCTAAGGGCCTAAAGCACCCTACTCAGAGAGGAAGGGGCCACTTCTCAAGCTCTACCTGTAATAGAAGTTAAGAGAGAGCTCGACTACCACCAGAGCTCAGGGAGCGAGGGGTCTAACAACTACTCAAGAAATGAGGAAGAATCCCTTCCACGCTCTACCAAGCTGTATATATGGAGGCTTCAGCAGGATAACTCTCGAAGAAGAGGAGGCCTGACACATAATTAGGAGAGCTAGCTCGACCACAATCAGAGCTCAGGGCCTGAGGCACCTCCTCAGAGAGGGAGGGGCCACTTCTCAAGCACCACCTGCAACGTCTGTATGCATAGAGGCCTAAGCAGGATGACTCTCGAAGGAGAGGAGGCCTGACACATGCTATAAAACAGATCAAAAACAGCCAACCGTATATATAGAAGCCTCAGCAGGATGACTCTCAAAGGAGAGGAGGCCTGACACCTATTTAGGAGAGCTAGCTTGACGATCATCAGAGCTCAGGGAGCGAAGAGCCTAAAGCACCTCCTGAGAGAGAGGCCACTTCTCAAGCTCCACCTGAAATGCTGTTTGCATGGAAGCCTCAGAAGGATGCCTCTCGAAGGAGAGGAGGCCTGACACATGCTATAAACAGATAACACAGCCTAACTGAATATATGGAGGCCTCAGCAGGATGACCCTCAAAGGAGTGGAGGCCTGACACATAGTTCGGAGAGCTAGCTTGACTATCACCAAAGCTCCGGGAGCGAAGGGCCCGAAGCACCTCCTCAGAAAGGGAGGGGCCACTTCTCAAGCTCCACCTGCAACGTCTGTTTGCATGGAGACCTCAGCAGGATGACTCTCGAAGGAGAGGAGGCCTGACAAATGCTATAAAACAGATCAATCACAGCAAAATATATATATGGAGGCCTCAGCAGGATGACTCTCGAAGGAGGGGAGGCCTGACACATATTTAGGAGAGCTAGCTCGACGATCATCGGAGCTTAGGGAGCGGAGGGCCTGAAGCACCTCCTCAGAGAGAGAGGGGCCACTTCTCAAGCTCCACCTAAAATGCTGTTATCATGGAGGCCTCAGCAGGATCACTCTCAAAGGAGAGGAGTCCTGATACATATAGTTAGGAGAGCTAGCTCGTTACTAAGCACTCTATAGAAACACCCTTCTAACTAGGGGAGTACCACGTCATCCTACTCTAGAGGAGCGACTTGACCACTGTCTCAAATTCAGAGACGCAAACTGCCTCCACAGGGTTATGGGGAGCAGGGGCCTAGCAGAAAGACTCTAAGATGAGGAGGCCTGCCATACTTGCACCTAAGTGGTCTTAAACTAGTCTTTTTTTTTTTTTTGAAACAACTATATGGAATAAATCCAGCTCAGAGCCCGAGAGGCGGAGGGCCAGGAAACCCTCTCTTGACGACTTAAGAGAGTGATCCCAAGCCGTGCTGCCTGCATGGGGCTCCAGGGCCAGAGGTCTCAGCATGATGACTCTCGCATCTCACCACACCGTAAGGGAAACCCATCCTATCCAGGAGGGGAACGGAGGCCGTTAACTACAGCCTGTCTACGTTCGTTTTAACTGGAGGAGGCACGTAGTGTCAACTACTCTGTTAATGGTGTCTGGTAGGGTGTGGCCAGAGAGAAAGCACTCATCAAGAGTTTTTTTTTTCTTTTTTTCTAGCACTTCCCCTCTGACGCGCTGCCATTGCAATACTCAAGCCTGGCGGGCGCGTTCAGTAGAGCACTGACTGTTGGACCAGAGGATGCGTCAGAGCGCGCCTCCCCGCCCAACAGTCCCTTCTCGTCACCCGCCGACGAGTTTGAGAGAATCACTACTCTCTCAAACTCGTCAACGAGCTCCCTCTGAGATCCCCGCGATCTTAGTCTCCTCTCGGCACGAGCGGGACCCGAACCGCGAAGCAAAGATGACTGTCAATCCTCCCTCGAGAAAAAAGACAGACGAGAACGGAGCGTTCTCATTGAGAAAAACGCTCACGATCGGCGCACTCTATCCCCTCGAGAACCGAGCGCGCGTGCTCTACACCCAGACAAAGCCACAAAGGTAGTGAGTGCCACCAGGTGTGAGAAACCTCTCACACGGGTCGGCACACTTCCCTTGTTTGCCATAGTTTCATTTTACTCACAGTGTCAGTGAAACAGTCCCTGAAGACGAAAAGAGGATGACATGTTCTCTAGGCGCTCCTTTTATACTTCCTGGTCGCGCTAGAGCATGACGTCATGGCTGACGCCGGCCAATAGGATTGTCGTGATTCTACAGTGTTTCAGTCATCAGTCACGCTGAGGCGTTCCCCATAGCGCTTGACGCAGTTCGAGTTCCCTTCGAAAGGGGACACATCTGACAAAAAACAAGAATCGTTTCATGAAACTTAAATGTGTATTATGACTGACTGTCTATTCACAATGACACAAAGTATAACAAATGCAGGGTTTTATAAAAAAAAAAAAAAAATAAACATGACATTATTAAAACATTTAAATATGCTATCAGCATATTAAATATTTATAGACCTTTTAACGCAGTTAAAGTGCAGATCGCCCACCAGTGTCTGATTCAGGGCGGCCCTAGACTTCTGGGGGCCCTAAGCAAACCCCTCCCAGTCAATGCGTTCATTAAACCCCCAAATGACCCCTGACCCCTTCATCTGTTCACTCAGAGCGGTTTCACTGTCAACAAACAGCAGTGAGTTGAAACAGTCCAGTACCATACATTTTCTTTTTTACAAACAATAGGACAAATACAATAGAAAAAAGATACAAATGAAATAAACTGTTTAGCGTACTATACAGAATTAAGTAATTAAATGTAATAAAACTCTGTCAAGTCTTCGTCATATAAATGTAATATAATTTAATTTAACGGGGGGGGGGGGGGGGGGGGGCTACATTTCAGGGGTGAGTCCCAAATGAAGAGCAGCAGAGGGTTAAAGTAACAGTGAGAAGACGAGTGTTGGAATCAGGAAACGAGGCGCGTCAGATTGGGTTTCTCGCACACACACGCGTCACACAGCATGTGGAGCATGTGCACTACTATGAGCCCTACATAGACTGCAGCACAGCGGATCCCATGTCAGAGTTTCACAGCCAAGACCAAAAAAACAAACAGCTGCTATCATCATTACTTTAGCAAATTATCAAATCCATGAAACTCTGCGAGGCATTTAATGGCATAACCACATGAGCCAGACTATACACGGCGTCACATGCATTCATACGCTCTCATAAACGTGTGCTAGTTCACAGAGAAGAGCAGGTGCACACAGCTCAATCCCATTCATTCTGAAGGAGACACATAACCAATGATGGTGTGGTCACTTTACCTGCAGAAATAAGCTTCATTATTGCTAATAAGGCCACACAGAAATTAAAAACGACCTGTTGTTTTATTTAGATATATAAAAAAGAGAGAAACACTTTCACAGCAGACGCACGTTTGTGTGGAGCCGACTGAATGTTATCTGGGATCATGTGTTATCCCTAAACTGATATCAGGTGACAAAAGGTAAAAAAGATATTAATAAATCAAACAAAACCTCATTTTTTTATTTTATAGCTATTTCTAACATATTGTGAATTTTATAAATGAAATTAAAATATTTAAGAGTCTTCTTGAGCCTAATTAAGATTTAATGCTGTCTGTAATTCCTGTATATATACATACATGATGTCCGAACTTTCATTTTTTTACGTAAATAGTATATGTTAAAAGAACTTACTGTAAGTGTGAACTATTGTAATGTAATGTTTCTGGACACTTGTAATTAAATGAAAATGTACTGTATTATAGCTCACATTTGTATCAGATACAGTGAGCTGAACTTTAGAGTGATTAGTATTGTGCTGACAAGCATTTATGATTAAAATATGCTGTAATGTCACATATATTGAAACGTCTATGTCGTGTTTTTCAATGTATTTGTAATTACATATTTTTAATGAAGTTAAAAAATATTTTAACAATAAAAGTAATATTGAATAACATGCTAAAGTTAAAATTATAATCAAGTCAAAATAAGTGTGCTTCTTTAAAACATGATAGAAGATTATTAAAACATAGTGGTGTAAAATATACTTTACAATAAAGCGCTACTATAAAGTGGAGTTTTTAAAAGTTAAACTTTACGTGTGGTCAGAAACAGTAATGAAAGTGTTTTCTCTTTAATTAATTGACTTTACGGCCACAAATCAAATGTTCTTCCTCACAGTAGCTGGTGTTACTATACTGTAGTTCTGCTCCTATAATTAGACTGGTTAAGCAGTAAGTAAAGGTGTGTGTGTGTTTCGGAGGCCTCCAGGCCCGTGTGTGTTCCAGTACACACAGAGCGACTGATATTCACATGTCAGCACGGCTGGACTGCTTTACTGGCCAATCAGCATCCAGGAGCACGCTTGACCACAGCAAACCCATGAGCGAGCGGAGCAAGTGTGTCAGAGTCGAGTCTCACCGTCAGTGCTGTGTGACACCACAATGTGTGTTTTGTGCTGAAGTAAAACAGCTGAGCTCAGCCGAAAGACTAAACAAACCTGCGGCAGACAAAAGCCCTGTGAAGCCGGCCTGGATGAACACACGTACCTCCTCGTCTCGCTCCAGCTCCAGCCCCATCTCCAGCAGGCTGCTCTCGAACTCGGCCCGGCGCAGGGCCTTGTCCCGGTCCTGGTGCTCGTGGTGCTCTGCGCTGGGGTCGGCGCCCCGCTCGGCGTCGGCTGGAGGGCCGGGCCGGCCCCGTCTCAGGGTGCGTGTGAAGGCGTTGTCTCGGAGCCGGGACCCCCCGGCGCGGCTGCTCTTCTTGATGTGGTAGGTGAGGATATAGTCCACCCGTCTCCGGCCGTCCTGGTAGAACAGACCCTGCCGGCATTGAGTGTTCTCCTCAGGAGTGAGAGACTTCAGGAGCTGAGAGGAGAGAGGAGGCCAGAACATGAGTGTGTGTGTGTGTGTGACTGCAGTGGCCAGTCAAAGGTCAAGATCGCAGCATCTCCTCATTGTCCTGAACTCAGATCAGCATATGAGGAGGATCAACACTACCAGGCAGAAGCTGTGGACACATTCGGCATGATCCCAAGGCTTCTGCGGGAACGCTTGGAAGAAGTTCAAATTAACAAATATAAATCGTGGCTTATTGTCATATTCTTTACCAAACTAAAGGCACCGTTGCAGTGGATGTAGAATGAAAAGAAAGAGTGAATGTTGAGAGTCAGCAGAAAGTGTTCACGTGTTTTTGTTCATTACATCATTCTCAGACGTGCATTATTAGACAAACACTGTCAAAATGATTTTTCAGATGACTCGAGTGTTTTACAATAAAACACTGTCTCGTTTAATTCAGTGTGTTACTTGAAATGTCTTTGGAATTATTTGTGGAATTTAGCAATTTGACTTTTTTTCTGTGTGTTTACTGTTATTCTTAAATGTGATAAGCAGAAGGCTAATAATGACAGATGTGGACAGTTTTTACAGCGTTTCTGTCGTGTCGGACAGGATCTTTAGCATTAAACGAACTGAAGGACACTGACAACTCTCATGTGATCAGTGTGATGTAAATGTTTTGAACACGCTGAGCGGATATACAGTGTGTTAGTGTTATTTAATCTCTCTAGTGTGTGAGAGATTAGTGTGTATTTACAAACATAAGCATGGTTGAGAAGCCTGTCAAATGTTAGGAAATAAACATGAATATTAGACCACTTATATGTGTAACTAAACCAGATGTTATTTTCTTAGATTAATCAAAGGCAAAAGGGACACAATATAAATGAGGATAATTCATTTTTGCTGTTGAAAATGTACACAATAACAAAGAATACAAACGCATCAAATGTCTTCATAAGACACTCAGCACTACCAGTGAAATGAGTGGAATGATTTCGCTTTTTAAAAATGTTTATTTCATTTTAAATATGCGCTCAATATCATTATTAATTTAAAATAACTGTTTTCTATGAGAAAAAATATTTTTTATTTATTTATTTTTCTGAAACTGTGAAACACTACCATTCAAAAGTTTGAAGTAAGATATATATATATATAAACATTTTATTCAACAATAACAAGTGACAACAAAGTGACAGTAAAGACATTTATTCTTCATTATTTCTTACCAAAAGTTTTCTATTTCAAATAAATGCTGTTCTTTTGAATCCTGAAAATATATATCACAGTTTATACAAAAATATGAAGCAGCAAAAACTATTTTCAACATTGATCATAATTAATAATTAAGCACCAATAACAGCTGATATCTGAGCAGCAAATCAGCATATTAGAATGATTTCTGAAGGATCATGTGAAAATAGAGTTATCTGAAATTGTATCATTTCACACTATTACTGTCTTTACTGTATTTGACCAAATAAACTCCTTACAGAAGCATTTTAAAAATAGAATTGTTCCAAACTTTTGACTGGTACCGTAATAAATTCCTGGCAAAACTCTATTTAGGCCATTTTTTGATCTGACAAATAAATATATTCTAAATTATGAAAATAATTTCACATGAAATTAGTGACTGATATATTTTACAGAAACAAACAACATAATAAACGGTGACTCTGTATTATTATTGTATTATTATCTCTATTATTACTGTATTATTCTCTCTCCTCCTCCTCCTCCTCTTCCATCCAGAAGAATATGGCAGTCATGAGTAATATTGCACAATGCAATGATGATATTTGAATATAGGTTCAACACAACTGGATAATCTCAACGTCAGATGGAGGAGCACAACTCTCTTATGTGCATATTCATTAATCTCTGAGTAATATTACCGTTTGTGAAAGCCATAATTATTGCCACTATAGATCCAGTAATGTTTCATAAGTTCTCAACATGTTTGGCCCCAGTGTTTGAGTGTTGGAGATCAAACTGCCGGAGATGTTGGGGAATGTGTTGATCTTAGTTAATGAATGGATCTGAGTCATGTTTGACATGCAGCCGCTAATACACTGTTAAATCATGTTCGACACCAGTTACCTTGAACTTGAGACTGTCAACTACCGGCTCTTATTACATCTGTGGGAACCACAATTAATAACTAATAATATGACGGTTATATATAATATAGTACAGTAAGCAGGTTTCTGTTGCACTGTAACTAGTTCTGATGCGTTCCCTGTTGCACAAACACACTATGCGACAGTAATCTTAGATAGAAAATATTTTTTGAAGTCCTAATTTATGAGGTCAGCTTTTTTTGTAGAGCGACTGCAACCGATCCAGCAACTGCTGACTGTGTTATGGGGTGTAAGATTTCCTCTGGCATCCCGCTTCATCTTATGGGGACATGCACTCATATTTTAGGAGCAAAAGCATTAGCCCATATAGATCTAGCACATGCTCATTTTCTGTACTTATTGATCTAAAGGTACTTCATCTACATTTATCAAATTCTCAATTAAGCAGCCAATAATAGTCATCATTAATCGCAGATATTGCGTATGCATTATAAATATTGGGTATAAAGGTCCTAAAACTTCCTGAATAGTCATGAACACACGCCACACGCACCTGAAATTTGCCATGAAAGAGCACGTCCCTTAAGAAGTGTGCTTGCTTACAGGCACTCTGAGGTTGAGAGACGCCACTTTCTTTCTCGGTTAAATCCATCTCCCAATCACAGTAAGAGCCTGTTCTCACACTCCGGTAATCTTCAACACTGTTCTCTGTCTGCCTGTTTCTCTCTGTCCCTCAGACTGAAGCAAGACGCAGGTCACCAACTGATCCCTGTTGTTACTTGAGAGGAGTGAGAGGAGCCAGGAGCTAATATTAGACTCAACTATAAAGCCATACATCAAAGCCTCCGAGATGCCCTCACTCACACACATGGCTGTTGGTCAGAAGTCAGCTTAGTCTATGTAAAGGGGACTTTCGGAATTATGTCAACATAGCTAGGTATGTTGTTTTTACCTCTGTAAAATCTCTGTAATGCGGAAACATGTTTGCGCCATGGATTAAAAAATAAAAAGGTAATTGCGAATTCTGACTTTTTTCCTCACAATTCAAGCTTTACATCCTCATGTCTTGCCTCGCCCACACTCCCTTCGCTAAGGTTCATGCTATAAGCAGGGTCCCCGCTGAATCATTGTTATGTGATGAGCTGGATTATGTCATGTTGCAAGACCTACAGTCTTCACTGGTCCCGTCCAGCTCCAAGTCTCCTTCAACGAGGATGGTCCCGTCCAGCTCCAAGTCTCCTTCAACGAGGATGGTCCCGTCCAGCTCCAAGTCTCCTTCATCAAGGATGGTCCCGTCCAGCTCCAAGTGTCCTTCATCAAGGATGCTCCCGTCCAGCTCCAAGTCTCCTTCAACGAGGATGGTCCCGTCCAGTTCCAAGTGTCCTTCAACGAGGATGGTCCCATCCAGTTCCAAGTCTCCTTCATCAAGGATGGTCCCGTCCAGCTCCAAGTCTCCTTCAACGAGGATGGTCCCGTCCAGCTCCAAGTCTCCTTCAACGAGGATGGTCCCGTCCAGCTCCAAGTCTCCTTCATCAAGGATGGTCCCTTACAGCTCCAAGTGTCCTTCATCAAGGATGCTCCCGTCCAGCTCCAAGTCTCCTTCAACGAGGATGGTCCCGTCCAGTTCCAAGTGTCCTTCATCAGGGATGGTCCCGTCCAGTTCCATGTCTCCTTCAACGAGGATGGTCCCATCCAGTTCCAAGTCTCCTTCATCAAGGATGGTCCCGTCCAGCTCCAAGTCTCCTTCAACGAGGATGGTCCCGTCCAGTTCCAAGTCTCCTTCATCAAGGATGGTCCCGTCCAGCTCCAAGTCTCCTTCAACGAGGATGGTCCCTTCCAGTTCCAAGTGTCCTTCATCACGGATGGTCCCGTCCAGCTCCAAGTCTCCTTCAACGAGGATGGTCCCGTCCAGTTCCAAGTCTCCTTCATCAAGGATGGTCCCGTCCAGCTCCAAGTCTCCTTCAACGAGGATGGTCCCGTCCAGTTCCAAGTCTCCTTCATCAAGGATGGTCCCGTCCAGCTCCAAGTCTCCTTCAACGAGGATGGTCCCGTCCAGTTCCAAGTCTCCTTCAACAAGGATGGTCCCGTCCAGCTCCAAGTCTCTTTCATCAAGGATGGTCCCGTCCAGTTCCAAGTCTCCTTCAACAAGGATGGTCCCGTCCAGCTCCAAGTGTCCTTCATCAAGGATGCTCCCGTCCAGCTCCAAGTCTCCTTCAACGAGGATGGTCCCATCCAGTTCCAAGTCTCCTTCATCAAGGATGGTCCCGTCCAGCTCCAAGTGTCCTTCATCAAGGATGCTCCCGTCCAGCTCCAAGTCTCCTTCAACGAGGATGGTCCCATCCAATTCCAAGTGTCCTTAATCAAGGATGGTCCCGTCCAGTTCCAAGTGTCCTTCATCACGGATGGTCCCGTCCAGTTCCAAGTCTCCTTCAACGAGGATGGTCCCGTCCAGTTCCAAGTGTCTTTCATCAAGGATGGTCCCGTCCAGCTCCAAGTCTCCTTCAACGAGGATGGTCCCGTCCAGTTCCAAGTCTCCTTCAACAAGGATGGTCCCGTCCAGTTCCAAGTCTCCTTCATCAAGGATGGTCCCGTCCAGCTCCAAGTCTCTTTCATCAAGGATGGTCCCGTCCAGTTCCAAGTCTCCTTCAACAAGGATGGTCCCGTCCAGCTCCAAGTGTCCTTCATCAAGGATGCTCCCGTCCAGCTCCAAGTCTCCTTCAACGAGGATGGTCCCATCCAGTTCCAAGTCTCCTTCATCAAGGATGGTCCCGTCCAGCTCAAAGTGTCCTTCATCAAGGATGCTCCCGTCCAGCTCCAAGTCTCCTTCAACGAGGATGGTCCCATCCAATTCCAAGTGTCCTTAATCAAGGATGGTCCGTCCAGTTCCAAGTGTCCTTCATCACGGATGGTCCCGTCCAGTTCCAAGTCTCCTTCAACGAGGATGGTCCCGTCCAGTTCCAAGTGTCTTTCATCAAGGATGGTCCCGTCCAGCTCCAAGTCTCCTTCAACGAGGATGGTCCCGTCCAGTTCCAAGTCTCCTTCAACAAGGATGGTCCCGTCCAGCTCCAAGTCTCCTTCATCAAGGATGGTCCCGTCCAGCTCCAAGTCTCCTTCAACGAGGATGGTCCCATCCAGTTCCAAGTCTCCTTCATCAAGGATGGTCCCGTCCAGCTCCAAGTGTCCTTCATTAAGGATGCTCCCGTCCAGCTCCAAGTCTCCTTCAACGAGGATGGTCCCGTCCAGTTCCAAGTCTCCTTCATCAAGGATGGTCCCGTCCAGTTCCAAGTGTCCTTCATCAAGGATGCTCCCGTCCAGCTCCAAGTGTCCTTCATCAAGGATGCTCCCGTCCAGCTCCAAGTCTCCTTCAACGAGGATGGTCCAGTCCAGCTCCAAGTGTCCTTCATCAAGGATGGTCCCGTCCAGCTCCAAGTGTCCTTCATCGAGGATGCTCCCGTCCAGCTCCAAGTCTCCTTCAACGAGGATGGTCCCGTCCAGTTCCAAGTGTCCTTCATCAAGGATGGTCCTGTCCAGTTCCAAGTGTCCTTCATCAAGGATGGTCCCGTCCAGCTCCAAGTGTCCTTCATCAAGGATGCTCCCGTCCAGCTCCAAGTCTCCTTCAACGAGGATGGTCCAGTCCAGTTCCAAGTCTCCTTCATCAAGGATGGTCCCGTCCAATTCCAAGTGTCCTTCATCACGGATGGTCCCGTTCAGTTCCAAGTCTCCTTCAACGAGGATGGTCCCGTCCAGCTCCAAGTCTCGTTCAACGAGGATGGTCCCGTCCAGCTCCAAGTCTCCTTCATCAAGGATGGTCCCAGCCAGCTCCAAGTGTCCTTCATCAAGGATGGTCCCAGCCAGCTCCAAGTCTCCTACAACGAGGATGGTCCCGTCCAGCTCCAAGTCTCCTTCAACGAGGATGGTCTTGTCTCTGGCTCCAACTTAGTGTATCATCACTGTGGCTCTGCTTCGACTACCGCATCTCCAGCTGCAGCTCGACCCTCGAAACCTCCTTCTCCGCCGGGCTCCTCCTTCCCCCCGGTTCTGACATTGGCCTCAGTCACACTGGCTCTGCCTCAGTCTACCAAGCCCATGTCTCCCCCTAGGTTAAGCGTGCCTTCAGCTCCACCTTGGTAATCCATGCCTTCCTTGTCACCCTGGATCTACTTCTCCTCAGCTCCACCTGGGTCTCCACCATTCACTTCATCACCTCAGTTGCTCAGGCTCCTGGCTCAGTTCTGCCGTGGGCCTTCATCTTGGCTTTGCTCAGGGTCCTCCTCTGGTTCCTCCCTCATCTCCTCCCTGGCTTATCCCTCCATCTTCTCCACCTCCTGGATCTTATCGGTCTTCATCTGCACCACATCCACCTCTGGAACCCCCTCCCACATCTGTTGGACGTTTGCAGCCAAGGATGCACTTTTCGGGTTAAGACGATTATAATTTGATTTGTTTCATTATCATATTCTGTCTTGCTTTAATTCTCATTAACTTTTTGTTACTATGGTTTCTGATTAGTGCTCGCCTGTTCATTGTTTCGTGAATGATCATTCCCTGTGTATTTTAGCCCCGATGTATCTTTAGTTCAATGTTCTGCTTCATCAATGTAGTATGGTCTTGGTGTGTACTTAAACGTATCTTTATCATTCATTCTGCATCACGCATCTCGTTTTTAGAGTAATACTACGCTCAACCCATGACAACACCTCGCAATTCTTGCAACTTTTTTCTTGCAATTCTGACTTTATATCTCACAATTCTTTTAATTCAATTAACTTTATTTCTTGCAATTGCATGTTCATACCTTACAATTTTGACTATTTCTCACAATTTTGAGTTTATATCTTGCAATTCTAAGTTTACATATAAATTTCGAAGTGCAAAAGAATTTCAGAATTTTGAGATATAAACTCGCAATTCTGAGAAAAACATTTATCTTTTGAATTGTTTATTCCGTAGTGGAATCAAGCTTCCATTATGTCATCTTTTTTCAGAGAGACCTCTAATGTTTATAAGACAAGTGCTGTGTTGTCTTGCATACCGGCCATCTTAAAAAGTGAAGACTTAAAAACAAACTTACTATAGAATCTTGAAGATCATAACCAATATCTTCTATGGCTTTGATACTGACGATGTTCATTTGCTTGTCTGTGATCGGTACAGAAGGGAACTGTTCATTGTTCATGATGGCTGTTGTGTTTCCAGCACTGGACTGGGATCAGAGTTTAACCTGTAGACGAAAAACAACATGAAATACAGGTAAACATCACCAAATCACAACTACAACATTACGAATTCCACCTGAGTATAATACACATGTTAAAAAAGATAAATAAATAAACAGAACTGCCAGTTGTCTTTATTGTCTAATATATTCTTTAAAATAAAGCTTGAAAATATGTTTTCTCGGAAAATCCCATTGAAGATTTTTGTTGGCCAAAGAATTATTAAAAGAACCGTTTTTTTTCCTTAGTGTGCAGAATATTTGACAAAATAAAAGTAATTTTTAAAAATTAAAAATTAAAATAATTAAAAGTAAAAGTAATTTTTCATAAAATACATAATTTCCACTATAAATAACCTTTTGTGCGATGAAAGATTCCATGGATGTTAAAGTTTCTTCATGGAACCATCGATGAACTTTAAATGAAACCTTACAGATCCTACATTTAAGAGTGAGTGCACACAAGCTAGCCGAAGAATGACAGTGACAGTTGTTCTCAGGTTGAGGTGACCAGCTTTAACTAAAACTTTCAAT